TCAAGGCTAGCACTCTACCATTTGAGCCATAGCACCACTTCCGGCTTTTTTTCTTTTTGCTTATGTGGTGCTGAGGAATCGAACCCAGGGCCTCGTGCATGCAAGGCAAGCACTCTACCACTGAGCCACCTTCCCAACCCCTCTCCCTCCTCGTAGATGTTGGGGTTGAACCCAGGGCTTCAAACATGCTAAGTGTATGCTCTTACCCCTCAGCATACTTCTGTTGTCTTCAGTTACAAAGGAAAAACTTCTATTCCTGATGCAGATGAAGGAATGAATGTCTCACACGGTGTTCTGTGACATCCCAGATAACCTTTGGCTCTCAGTAACACATGTTTCTGCCCCAGTTTCTCTGCCCCATAATACATTTATTGTAGAGGCCTTCAAAAGGATATGTAGCTTTCTGGAATGAGGTCAACTCAGAAGGAGAACTGACTTCAATTTCTCCCACCTCTTGCCCCCACTTAAGTTAGTAATACATCTTAAAATAATGGCAGCACATTTGTAGAAGTAGAAAATGACCTATCTTTCTCTTGTTTGAAGTTAGTCATCTGTGCACAGATGAAATCTGGACGCCTCTCCCAAAATAGTAGTGTTTTGAGATGTTCAAACCAGAGTTATTTATTTGTTTCTTTATTTATTGGTGACAGGACTGGGGCTTGAACTCTGAGTTTCGACACAGTCTTCTAGCTGTTTGGCTTAAGGCTGGTGTGTTCTACCACTTGAGCCACAAGCTACACTTCCAGCATGTTGGTGGTTCTTTGGAGATAAGATCTTCACAGACTCTTCTGCCCTGGCTGGCTTCAAACTGTGATCTTTAGATGGCAGCCTCCTGAATAGCTAGGATTACAGGCATGATCACAGGCACCTGACTACATTCAAGTTTTCAAAAACACTGTTTTGTGTGATATTAAAGGGACAAAGATGTCAAGCACAATATATGCCATGGTCTAAAAAAAAAAGTGATACAAGTAATAATCACAGGAGGAAGGGAGACGTGAGCACAGAGTGTATGAAACTCCACCCACTTTCTTTGCACAATTACAATGAAAATAAGGTAAAAGAGAGAGACCAAATGATTTCCATTCGTGACAGCCGTTTACTCATTTACACAAAGGGCTTGTTTGTGTCTGCAGGCTTTCGCTAAAGAAGGAGCCAAAGTCATAGCAACAGATATCAATGAGGCCAAACTTCAGGAGCTGGAAAAGTACCCAGGTAAGCAGCTGGGCAGCCTGACCCGGGGGTCAGAGTCTGCAGCGTATTAGAAAGGAGTGATACTCACGTGCTGAAAGAAAACCCTCTACCTGCTCAGCAGCACAGACCTGCTTTGCTTACTTTTGGACTCTTTGATATTAAATCTATGATTCTGGGAGCTCACAACAGACAAAAATAGGTGTGCTTAAATGTCTGAGAAATCTAAGAGATGTATTATCAAAATTGCATTGGGCAATTTGTGGAGGGATTTAGTTTCTAGTTACAAAGTCATGAGTGAAAATATCAGCTGTTCTGTTAACTATTAATGGGAGAGGGTTCATGTTTGGCTTTGTGTTTATGCATGCTTGTCCTGGGACTTGAACTCAGGGCACTGTCCCTGAGCTTTTCTGATCAAAGGCATCTTACTGCTCTACCACTTGACCCACAGCTCCACTTCTTTAATGAGCTCTTTCATTCCTGTCTGTTCTGTTCCTTCCTTTTTCTGGGGCAGTGTTGTTCAATAGTAACATATTATGCATCGCACATATATTCATAGATGTTCTAATAGTCATATCTCAATGTAAAATACAGGTGGAAACTAATTTAAATAATATATAATGCGGAATATATGACATCTCAACATGTATTCAATATTAAAAATTATGAATGGAATGGTTTTTTTCTTTTTATTTGTTTTATTTTTTTTTTAGATAGGATCTTACTTTATAGCCATAGCTAGCCTGAATTTACTATTCTCCATTCTCTGCCTCCTGAGTGCTAGAATTACAGCTACTCACCACCACACGTAGAACTTGTAGATGGTTTTGTTGTGGACTTGTTTTGAGTTGTTTGGGGTTTTTTGTTGTTGTTTTAGCATTGTGGAACCCAGGACTTGCTAAGTGCTCTACCACGGAGCCACACTCCCAGCTCTAGCTCGGTGGATGATTTTGTTTTGATGATTTTTTTTTTTGCCAGAAGTAGAACTTGAACTCAGGACCATGAACTTGCTAAGCAACTTCCCGGACACATCCCCAGCCTCTTTCTGATTTAATTTTTTTTTCAGATAGGGTCTTCTGATTTTGCCTAGGGCTTGTCTCAAGACTTTTACCCACCTCGTATGCCTCCTTTTGTGAAATTATTACCCCAGTCAAGCTAACTAACAAATCCCCTCACTTCCTGTAATCATCTGCGTGCGTGTGTTGAGAATACTTAAAAGCTGCAGTTAGCTCATTGCAAGTGTCAGATGCAACATATATTAACCATAGCTCATCATGCTCTACAATGGATCTTCAAACCTATACATAAGGACAAGATTGCACCCTGTGGCTTTCGTCTCCAAATTTTCCTAAGTCTCTGAATTGAGGTATAGCTATAGGTTTGTTTTGGTTTTACTTTTGCTTTATCAGTGCTGGTCCTGGGCTTGAACTCAGGGCCCAGGTGTTGTCCCTGAGCTCTTTTGCTAAAGGCTAACATTCTACCACTTCAGTCATAGCTCCACTTCCAGATTCTATTTTATTTTATTTTTTTGTCAGTTGTAGGGCTTGAATTCTGGGCCTGATCATTGTCCCTGAGCTCTTCAGCTCAAGGCAAGAACTCTACCACTTGAGACACAGCACCACTTCCAGTTTTCTTATTGGAGATAAGAGTCTCACAAACTTTCCTGCTTGGGCTGGCTTTGAACCATGATCCTCAGATCTCAGCCTCCTGAGTAGCTAGGATTACAGGCCTAAGCCACCAGCACCCAGCTGACTTCCAGGTTTTTTTAAGTGGTTAATTGGAGATAAGAGTCTTATGGACTTTGAATCCTGATTCTCACATCTCAACTTCCTGAGTGGCTAGAATTACAGGTGTGAGCCACTGGCATCCAGCTTGCTAGCTGTGTTTTAAATGCTCACCTGCCCCTTGTGGTTGAGCTAAGGCCTAAAGCCACACACCACACTGAAATCACACACCACAATTGGAAACCCGTGATTTGCCAGGTCATTTAGGGGCCCCACCATGTCCCACACCACACTGGACGTCACTACAGCACAGAGGACTTCAACCGCAGTGACCCTGAAAGAAATCAGAGCAGAGCAAAAAAACCTGCTTGAAAGTTACCTGGCCCAACAAAGTGGGACAGGTTACATGGTCAAGAAAGCTTTAGTCCGTTCAGTGAACCAAAAAATTTAGAATATATTGAATTACAATTCCAAGAAATTGAAGGAAAGTTATTCTACTGGAAAATCACGAAGGAAAGAAGTCTTTCTAAAATAAAATTTCAGCAGGGTGCTAGTGGCTCATGTCTGTAATCCTAGCTACCCAGTAGGCTGAGATCTGAGGATTGAGGTTCAAAGCCAGCTCAAGAAAGAAAGACTATGTGACTCTAATCTCCAGTTCACCAGAATAAATCCAGAAGTAGAGCTGTGGCTTAAATGGTAGAGCACCAGCTTTGAACAAAATGTTTAAGAGACAGTGCCCGGGGGCCCTGAGTTCAAGCCCCTGTACTGGTGTGAGCGCGTGCACACACACACACACACACACACACACAAATCTTCAAGACTGTAAAAACCCTAAAGGTAGCCAGCAGTGTTAAACAGCCCGGCTAGATTTCATGTTCTCAATATGATGAATCTCAAAAACAACTAAATCTTCAAAAGGAAATATGTTTTTATAGCTATAATAATGTCTTTTATTCTTTAGGTATTCAAATCCGTGTGCTGGATGTCACAAAAAAGAAACAAATTGACCAGTTTGCCAGTGAAGTTGAAAGAGTTGATGTTCTCTTTAATGTTGCTGGGTAATTTATGACATTTAATTTCTCTTTACTTCAGAAAGTTTTCTATGACTTTGTTAAGTGAACTTGAGGGCTTGGAAGGTGGCTCAGTGGTAGAGTGCATGCCTTGCATGCATGAGGCCCTGGGTTCAATTCCTCAACACCACATAAGCTGGAGAAGCCAGAAGTGGCAATATGGCTCAAGTGGTAGAGTATTAGCCCTGAGCTGAAGAGCTGAGGGACAGCGCCCAGGCCCAGAGTTCAGGCCCCATGACCAACCAGGGAAAAAAAAAAAAAAAGAACTTTGAGCCAGGTGCCAGTAACTCATGCCTGCAATTCTAGCTACTCAGGAAGCTAAGATCTGAGGATCAAGGTTTGAAGCCAACCCAGGAAGTCTATCAGACTCTTAGCTCCAATTAACTAGCAAAAAGCCAGAAATGGAGCTTTGGCTCAAGAGGTAAAGTGTCAATTGTGAGCAAAAAAAGCTAACGGCAAACACAAAGCCCTGAATTCAAGCCTCATAACTTTGATACTATGGTAAAGTTATTCATTGTGGAGCAGGACATTGAGACATAAAGCTAGATAAGTGAAACAGCAAAAAGGTTGACAGAAACTTGAGGTCTCAAGGTAGTCAATGTCTACAGAAGACACTGGATATTGACCCAAGTTGGGTCATGTGCTCCACCATATGGAAACCCAAGCAAAGCAAGGCCTTCTGATTCTGTTTCCTAATCTGATTCTTCACACAAAAGAATATCCATAGAGATGACAAAACCATCAAAGCTAGCCTATATCCTCTATTAAATTGTCTGCAGAGAAGAAGATATAAAAATATAGCATGTGCTTCTGGACATTCTGATTGTAGCAACCAACTGTACTTAGTCAATAAAAACCCGGTGTTTAGAAAGCTTGCTGTTAAAGCCGGGTGCTGGTAGCTCATGCCTGTAATCCTAGCTACTCAGGAGGCTGAGATCTGAGGATCACAGTTCAAAGCCAGCCTGGGCAGGAAAAAGTCTGTGCAAACTCTTATCTCCTATAAAGCACCAGAAAACAGAAAGTGTCACTATGAACATTTTGGGGCTAGTTATTTGTCCTTTTGATTTTCATAGACATGGCCACTTGATGGCAGTGTTGCTCTTGAAAACAGTCATTTGCTGACAGCTTTTAATGACATTGAAGTATATAGAGCTGCCTACATTTGACCACCCCAAACTCAAGCCTTCTTCTTTTTTTCTTCTTTTTGTTAAAAAAAAATTATCTATAAGTAGTTGTACAAAGAAATTGCTGTTCACCAAAGCAGTTTATGAATACAGTGCATCTTGAACAATGCCACCCCTTCCAACATTCCCTCCCATTCCTCTCAACCCACCCCTTCCCTCATGCTTCTTAATGTTTAGGGTATATATTGAATTTTTTGCCATTTAACACAGCAGTTTACATACACAATGCATGTAGATATGTTCACATCTTAAACCTTTTTAAAGAAAAAAAAAGAATGATGCTGAGTAGGGCACTGGTGGCTCACACCTAAAATCCTAGCTACTCAGGAGGCTGAGATCTGAGGATCATGGTTC